AATTTTTGGTATAGTAGTTGTGACTTATTCACACTATATACATTTGGCTTCCGCAACAGGAACTTGTGGAGCTAACGCCGTTAAGATCAGCCTTAGTCGGATTGCCAGGGGTCAATGGTCTATTGACTGAGCAACGTAAAAGGTTAACCATTGCAGTTGAACTGGTAGCAAACCCCTCGATCATTTTCATGGACGAACCAACTTCAGGGCTAGATGCAAGAGCTGCAGCCATTGTCATGAGAGCTGTTAGGAACACCGTCGATACAGGAAGAACCGTTGTCTGTACCATTCATCAGCCTAGCATCGACATTTTCGAAGCCTTTGATGAGGTGAGTTTATTATGTTTCCAGGACAATAAAGCTAATTTTTTTTCTCCTTTCTTTGGAGCAACGGTCAACTTGTCTCTGTGTGACCTATACGTCACGGGTTCGAGCCGTGGAATTTGTCCCTGATGCTTGCATCAGGGTAGGCTCCCTACATCACACCCCCTTAGGGTGTGGCCCTTCCCCGAATCCTGCATGAACGCGGGATGCTTTGTGCACCGATATNAGAGATATATGTTGGCCCTCTGGGTCGCCATTCTTGCCATTTGATCTAATACTTTGAGGTATGTTACTAAAGGAAAAGTTGAGTCTTTCTTTTCCTAGTTTATACAATCAAATACTAATTTTAGTTTCGTGTTGAATTCAGTCAATGCCTGGAGTTAGTAAGATAAAGGAGGCTTACAATCCAGCAACTTGGATGTTAGAAGTTATAGCCTCATCTCAGGAAATGATGTTAGGTGTCAACTTTGCTGATTTGTACAAGAAATCAGACCTCTACAAGAGGAACAAAGCCTTGATTGCTGAATTAAGTACGCCTCGTCCTGGTACAAAGGATCTGCATTTTGACACTCAGTTTTCACAGCCTTTCTGGACACAATGTATGGCTTGTCTCTGGAAGCAACACTGGTCCTACTGGCGTAATCCAGCTTATACTGCAGTCAGATTCCTGTTCACATCATTCATCGGACTTGTCTTTGGCACAATGTTCTGGGATCTTGGCACCAAAGTGTAAGTACTATTCACAATGAGACGTAAATAGAAACCTAACAAAAACCTCCTATAGTACATATGCTAAAATATTCGAGCTTTATTGATAACAGGAGTCGGAGCCAGGATCTTTTCAACGCTATGGGATCCATGTATGCTGCATGTCTCTTCCTTGGTGTTCAAAATTCATCATCAGTCCAGCCCGTTGTAGCCGTTGAGCGTACTGTATTTTACAGAGAAAGAGCTGCTGGAATGTATTCTGCGATACCATATGCCTTTGGACAGGTGGACAGACAGTTCAATTTCACAAAATCTATACATATTTCAACCTTAGCGTAACTAGTAAAGTTACTGCCATGTGACCAGGAGGTCATGGGTTCAAGCCGTGGAAATAGCCTCTTGCAAAAATGCAGGATAAGGTTGTGCACAATAGACCCTTGTGATCCGGCTCTTCCCCGGATTCCGCGCATAGCGAGAGCTTAGTGCACTAGACTGTCCTTTTTTATACATATTCCAGCCTCAGAAAAAGGTTGATAGTAATCCATGAAAACTTTATTTTTCATGCAGATTGTCATTGAAATACCTTATATATTTGTACAAGCTGCTTTCTATGGTCTCATTGTATATTCAATGATTGGATTTGAATGGACTGCTGCCAAGTTCTTTTGGTACTTCTTCTTCATGTACTTCACCCTCTTGTACTTCACCTTCTATGCAAGGTATGATGACCGTGGCTATTTCCCCGAATCAAAACGTTGCTTCTATTGTCGCGGCCTTCTTCTATGCAGCATGGAATCTCTTCTCAGGATTCATCGTTCTACGACCTGTAAGTTCTTCAAACTCCATCATTTCCAATTTTCCATATATTTCATCCATGTAAACTAATCCGAATCTCAAAAAATGACATGTTATCGTTCCCTTTTTTGGCTAAAAACAGCGTATTCCAATATGGTGGAGATGGTACTACTGGGCATGCCCTGTTGCATGGACCTTATATGGTCTCGTTGCATCACAATTCGGTGACCTACAAAACGACCTACAAAACGATCTTGGCAATAAAGAAACTGTGGAACAATTCTTGGATCGTTACTTCGGGTTTAAGCATGATTTTCTTGGCGTAGTCACAGCTGTGATCGTTGCATTGCCTGTTATGTTTGCCCTCACATTTGCATTGGCAATTAAGGCATTCAACTTCCAGAAAAGATAGAGACTTAGCCTACCAATCCAAAAGACTTACATAAGAAAGAATAGGTTATATAACTCTTATATATGTATAGGTCACAACTTGAAGACCATTTCTTGTAACATTTTTTAAATTTTCAATTATTACTATGTATGTTCTTCTATTTTTTCTTTATTGAGTTCCAAGTTTTTGTGTAGGGAAAATTAATTTATTAATGAGAATGAAACTATACCAGCAATTTTGCTCTATTTTTGGCTTTATCTTCTCTTTAACTTCTCCTCATTTCTAAAAGTGATCTTTTCATTTTTCAATTTTTTTTAATATGGTCTCATAACAATAACAAACCCGGCCCTTCGGATTCCGGCCCCACAAGTGGGGTCTGGGGAGGATAAGATGTATGCAGCCTTACCCGGGAGGGCAGAGATGTTGTTTCCGATAGACCTTCGGCAAAAAAAAAGATAAAAAGAAGCAGTGACAACAAATAGTAATATGAACAAGATATTAAGAAGACCGAAACCAAGATAACAATTAAACGACAGGTAGTCATATAGGAGTATATAATATGGTCTCATAAAAACAACGATATGTTATATGGAGTGTATGTATATAGGACCGTAGTATTTCATAGTATAATTATTTAGAAGGTTATCAAAGGAATTATTTTGGAATTTTTTTAAAAATTCTTCATATTTTATTGCTGAGAAACTGAGGTTTGCAAATATTCTAAGGTTCCAAATTCTAATCAAGAATCAGCTTCTAGATTTTCCTCATAATTCTCCACCTGTCTTGGAAAAATCAATAATCAGTCAAAATCTAGTCAAGTCAAAATATTCAACAACAAAATAGTGGGAAAAAAAGACTACATTTGCGTTAATATTTTAAATAATGTATCCAATAGTCAGTCTATCCTAAACTTGCTGCTATATAACCGCTCTGCCTTTATCTTTGGCATCAACTCTCACTTTCCCTCTCATTCTTTTCTTCTATATAACCAATATCATACAACTAAAACAAATTCAAGAAAATAATTTTGCTTCGAACACGTTTGAAGTATTGGAGATAGATTTTTCATTTTAGGGTACAATCGTCCGCCTCAGGGCGTTAAATATTATTGCATGGTTTTGCATGGTTTAAGAGATTAGTCTTTTGATCGATCAGAGTCAACGTTAACGTTACGATTGGTTGAAGATGGAGCCAGCAAATCTTAATATTTTAAGAGGGAGTAATAGTTTAAGGGGAAGTTTTAGGGCAAATAGTAGTTCAATATTTTCACGTTCAGCTCGAGATGAAGATGATGAAGAAGCTCTTAAATGGGCTGCTTTAGAAAAATTGCCAACTTTTGATCGTCTGAGAAAAGGTTTATTGTTTGGATCAGAAGGTGATTCTGCTGCTGAAGTTGATATAAATGATATTGGACATCAAGAAAGGAAATCTTTACTTGAAAGGCTTGTTAAAGTTGCAGATGAAGATAATGAGAAGTTGTTGTTGAAACTCAAGAATAGAATTGACACGTAAGTGAAAGAATTTTTTTACCCATATATGTATACGAGAACCTTGGCGTAACTGGTAAAGTTGCTGTCATGTGATCAAGAGGTCACGTGTTTGAACTGTGAAAGTAGGCTCTTGAAGAAATGTAGGGTAAGACTGTGTACAATAGATCCTTATGGTCTGGCCCTTCTTCGGACCCCGCGTATAACGTGAGTCTAGCCCTTCCTCGAACCCCGCGCATAGCGGGAGCTTAGTGCACCAGACTACTCTTATACTAGTTTGTTTACATAAATGATACTCCCTCTGTTCTAATTTATGTGAACCTATTTGACTAGACACAGAATTTAAGAAAAAATGTAGACTTTTGAAATTTGTAGTTCTAAATAAGTTAAAAAGGGGTCTAGAGTATTTGTGTGATTATAAAAACTTCTTATTAAGGGTAAAATTGAAAGTTTAAACTAAATTATTTTCAAATTTAAAAAAAGAATCATTTTTTTGAAACAGACAAAAAAAAAATATGTTCACACAAAAACCAGAACGGAGGGAGCATGGGACATCAAGAAAGAAAGAGTTTGCTTGAGATGCTGGTCAAAGTTGTAGATGAGAAGTTGTTGAAACTCATATAGAGTTGACACGTAAGGGAAAGTGTCAATATATATAGGGGAACGCGTGTACCTTATGTTATTATATGTATGAGTATATATATAATTATAAGAAACTATATATGTTTGTTATTAAAATAATATGTTGAGTTATAAAATAAAATTTAAAGGAGAGTGTCCTATTGTGATTTTTGAAATTTGCCTTCAATTACCAAGCTTATTAGATTGTTTTCTTTCTTAAATGATAAGGTTGAAATAATAGTCCATTTATTAATCTCTTTTAAAATTAGATTGCGTGATCACTTTGATGTGCAATTGTTAAGATATTTGAACCTGACGTACTCCCTCCTGCTCACAGCAAGTGATCAATTTGCTTTTTTATTTTGGTTCAAAATAAGTGTCCAGTTATGTAATTAAGAAAGAATTCAATTTGTTTTTACAAAATAACTCCTATGTACATATCCCTAAAAAGTTTTCTTACTCCTCACATTAAATGTTTAGTTAAGGGTAGTTTAGTCATAGTAGGTATTTTTGTATAGAATTTAGTATTTTCTTAATGGGCGTGCTAAAAGCAAATTGACCACTTATTGTGAACCGGAGGGAGTATATAATTATGATAGTAGGTAGCAATTAATACAATTGTCAATGAACAATACTTAACAATAAAATTAGGTGAAATATCACATATGTTATTTTGTGATTTAACCCCTAGCATAAGTCTTTTAAACTTCCTCATTTAAAAAAAGCAGACGTGTTTCCTTAATTAATCTAAACCGAAACATTTGAGCTCATAAATATATACTTCCTCTGTCTCATATTAACAGTCGTGGTTACTAAAAATAATCATCTTAAATTATTTGTCACTTTAGAAGTTCAATACAAAATTAATTATCTTTTTCCTTTTTTACCCTTTGTAATAATTATCTTTGAAAACTACAAACACCTAACTTTGTTCATATACAGATGAAAAAAGATTAAATATTAAAATATTTAAAATATGAATAAGGGTAAAGTAGTCAAAATTTCATCCTAATTAGTTTTTCTTAAGGGGCGTATACAGGATAATAATGACAGATAATATGAGATGGAGGGAGTACTAATAAAACTATACTCCCTTTGTCTCATATTAATAGTCGTGATTACTAAAAATAGTTGTCTTAAATTATTTGTCATTTAGAAGTTCAAGACAAAACTGATTATTTTTTCCTTTTTTATTCTTAGTAACAATTGTTCTTGCATATGGAGATAACGCATAAATAGAATAAATATTCAATGAAGAGAGATTATATCTTAAGACATAAATAAAAGTAGAATAGTCCAATCCCTTTTCTAATTAATATTTCTTAAGGGACGCGTAAAAGAGAAACACTACACCTTATATGAGACGAAGGAGTATAAAAAAAAAGTGGTAGACTAATTCCAAGAAAGTAAATTGACTACACTAATTGCTTGGCAGTTAGAGGGAGCTTAATGTCAATGACTTCCCATTTAATTGATTCATTATCATTTATTAGAAGGAAAATTTACTATTTGGTACAACAATATTAAAGGAATAGTGTTTCTACGAGGGATAAAAATGTCTTTTAATTTTTATGAATATTTTGGTAAATCAACTTTACAACTTAGGGTCTTGCCACTTTTAGTATAGTATGATGATAATGATGCAAGGGTAAAATGGTCGATCAATGTTTGAAGGAAATTTTAGTAAAGAACTTCCACTAAAAGTCTTCACACTCATAATATCGTATAATGATAATGATATATACTATAGTTCGTTTACGAAAGGGGAGTCTTGGTGTAACCGGTAAAGCTGTGGCCATGTGATGCCATGTGACCAAGAGATTACGGGTTCGAGCCGTAAAAACAACATCTTGTAGAAATGCAGGGTAATATTGCGTACAATATAATAGATCCTTGTGGTCCATCCTGTTCGGTTCCCGGGCTAAGCAGCCCCAAAGCTTAGTGCATCAGGCTGCTCTTATACTTGTTTGTTTACAATTTTCGGGAAATCTCGATGCAATGGTAAGAGTTGTCGTCATAATGACAAAAAGTTCATGGGGTTTAAGACGTGAAAACAACCACTTGTAAAAATGGAAAGTAAGATTGTGTGCCCAGGGGTCACGAGTTTTAAGCTGTGAAAACAATCTCTTAAAGAAATGCAACATATGAGCAGGGGCAGAGGTTGTGTAGTAGTTACGTGTTCGGACAAACCCAGTAGCTTTTGCTTAAACCTTGTATCTGTATTAGAAAATTCATTAAATATGTAAAAATATTTAATTGCGAACCCAGTAACTACAATGAACTAGGGTTCAGTGATAAGATCAGAACCCATAACCTTCAAATCTTGGCTCCGCCTCTACATATGAGTATGTATAATGAACTTGAGGCGATACCTTTCTTCGGACCTAGGCATAGCGGGAACTTAGTGTGTCGAAGTTTTGCCTTTTTGCTTTTCCTAACTATGACTTGAGTTTACCTTTTTTATTTTTATTAGTTGATATTTAATTTTTTGTTCCTTTTTGTTGAAAAAATGAAAAATTTACAGAGTTGGGATTGATATGCCATCAATAGAAGTAAGATATGAGAATCTAACTATTGAGGCAGATGCATATGTAGGAAGCAGAGCTTTGCCTACTTTTATCAACTTCATTACCAACTTCTTTGAGGTAAAAATCTAAACCAAAAAAAACAAAAAACAAAATATTTTTTTTATATATCTATTTTTTTAATTTGCAAAGGAGTTGTTATTTTATCATACTAACTTTTGTGTTTTTTTTTTCCTTCAATTTTTGGCTCCAAAGACTGTTGAATTCTCTTCACATTCTACCAAGTAAAAAGAGACAAATTACAATACTCAAAGATATAAGTGGAATGATTAAGCCATGCAGATTAACTCTGCTTTTGGGACCTCCAAGCTCTGGAAAAACTACATTT